AATACTTAAGTGCACATTTTGGGAGGTATTTGACATGTATGTAATGAGGCAAGGGCCAAGCACATTTAGTTTACAAGTATTTTAAATTTACTTTATGTTTTATTTGACAATATGTTGAGAAATTGAGGTTTTATAGGTAGTATTTTGCATTTTGGGGGGGGGGGGGTGTTAAAGGCCATAGGCCATTGCAACACGCCTTAAATGGCATTTTACGCTTGCATGCATAATCATTTTTGCACACAACATCAATTAACATGAAATGAGCACTTGAAACGCCTTTTATTTTTAGGTTTTATGCAAAATCTGGTCTTAAGGGTATTTTGGGGTTTTTCTTTCAAAAATAAGAGTTTCTTTTGACATAGTCAGTTAGAAAACATGATTTTAAGGGAGGTTTCTTCTTTATGTTTTTCAAAAAAAAATTCGTTTGAGTGTCCGAAATCAGTTGCAGATCTGGATTTTCTGGTGCACGCATTTTTTTTTCCAAGAAAAAGCCTGATCTAAGGGGTATTTTGGGTATTTCACTTGAAAAATAAAAATTTCTCTTGACATGGTCCTGGAGAAAACATGATGTTTTGGGGAGGGGGAGTTATTTCACAACTTTTTTTTTTTAAAAATGTCATTTATGCCCTCAAAACCCCATTTTAAACTCAAAATCTAGTGCATGCCCCATTGGCATGTCAGGGGGCTGCGCGCGCGGCATGCGCCGTGGGCACCCATGGTGCCTTCTCCTTGGTAACCTTGACGCTCCGTTTTCAAATGGCTATATCTCCTTCGTTCGGACTCCGAATCAGACGATTCTTAAGTCTAACTTTATTAATTCGTTGTCTTTCTAATGGTGTGCATAGTGGCACTCATTTTTGTTTAAAAAATACCATTTTTCCCCTAGCGCTAAACTTATTTGTTTTTTTTTTAAACATCGCTTTCGCATTTGTTTTCCTTTTGGTTTTCGTGACTCATGGGAGGTCACATTGGTGTCTTGGGGATGACATATATCTCTAGAGACTTGGTTTCTATTTTCGCTTCCGCATTCGGGATCCGTTATCGGGTCAAATTTTAGGTCATCACAGGATGCATTGGCTTGAAAAACTAGGGCCGTCACAGTGATCGCTAGCTTCTTCCTTTTCTTTAAATTAGAATTTGTTGAAGATAAAAGTAGAAACCCTGCTTTCTAAACGAAATTGATTGAATCTTCAATATGCTTGAACTCCGATTAGATTGAGAACACACCCTAAGATCATTCTTGTGTTATTGTGTTGCTCTCAAGTATATAAAAACATATTAAACAATCAAGGTGATTTTCTGTCAAAAATACTCTCAAGAAGCTCTCAATAGCGAAAATATTTTTCTTTTTTAAACCCTAATTAATAAATCCATTTATGAAAAAAAAAGAGAGTTGATATATCCATTTATGAAAAAAAAAAAAAGAGTTGATATAGACTTAGAGAGTCCTTATAATAGGTAAAAATAGCTTTAAAAATCGTGCAAGGTCTACCCCACAAGTTTGGGTAAAAATAAGAAACTAAAAAGTTACCAAAAACTAATTTTTCACACATTCAGGCAAATGCAATGGGTTGACTTGAAGTGCAACGGGTTGGAAAAATCCAGAGAGCTGTTTTTACTTAGAAAATGAAACCGGTTGGACTTTTTTGAATGTTATTTCTAACCTAAGCTCTCATACCCAACTTTAAAAATACTCATAAGTGTTACTCGTACACTTATCTTGACTAAATAATGTTCTCATCGACCCGAAGTTTGTTCCCACGTGGCAACACTTATAGTTCTGCTTCCGACATCGAAGTTCAAAAGTAAATAGAAAATTACAACTTGATCGGACACATTTTGGCACCGAAATTTACCAATTACAAAATTTATATCTCATAGCTTTTTAATTGTGAGCCATTTTAAAACCCGACACTGTTCATTTTCATCTTTACAAGAAGCGTTGGCAACTATTCATCTCCATATTCATTAGCAGCGTATTTTCTTATTTCTTGCATTTAAAGAACCATAACTTACTGGAATTTTGAAACATGCAATTCTCTATAACCACTTTTTTTTTTTTTTTTTTTTTTTTTTGTCCTTTCCAATTTGCATGTCTCACAATTTAGGGTTAGGGTTTCTCAATTAATCATTATTTATCCATATATGTTACAAACTTATATCATGTTGTTATTGTGATGCAAATAGGATTTCTGAAAAAAAAAAAAAAAAAAATTTGATTGCAATATGCTCTATTGATGCTTAAGTCTGAAACGTATAAAATTCTGAAAGATGTTGTAGTTGTCTTGTACTCCTACACATCATAATTATATATATAGTTGTTTCCCCAAGTTGATTGCATGTAGGCATGTTTATGAGGTATTGGTGAAGTCAATTCTTTAGCCTCTTCTCTTTATATTCTCAAACTAATTGAATTCATTTTACTTTCTATTTTAAGTATTAATTTCAGTTCATGTTAAGTGATAAACAACTCATAAAACCGAACATTTTTCTATCAAACTCGAAAGTGATCCTATAGTTTTGATTTCCATAAGCTAGCAATCTTCGTCGATCGATAGGTGTTACTTAGCCATTTTCTACAAGAATTTATGCTAGAGGGAGTGGTATTATAATTGATACACTTAATGCACATCATTCATCAAAATTGCTAATAGACCATGGCTTCAATTTATTAAACTACACACGGGTTGATCCTTTGAGGGTGGCAGGGAATGCCCTGCACATGATCTCATCTGGAACATCTTGCAAGTTCATCAGTGCTTTAAAAGTTTTCACGTAGTCGAAGGAGTCGCGAGTTCCATCGAAACTCTCAAGATGGGGCATCTTGAATTTCCTTGACAATGGGAGAGCCATAACTTGGGGATTAAAAGGTAGATATGTCTTTTAAACAAGATCATCGACTGTGTCAGGACCTTTTACTTTCAGGGCTTAGTTCATCCCTTCCACTTTTAATTTGAGATCCTGGATCTGCTGATCAGCGTGGGTAGCTTCGGTGCGTTCTCCTGCATAAGATACATCCTGTCGCCGAGAATGAGGCGTGCATTTTCCTTGTATCGGACGTATCCTTTGTTGAGAATGAGGCGTGGAAATGTGCAGGTTTCTTCGTCGACCTCCTACTTGGCTGTGCTCTATCATTGTTACCTTCTACAGGTTCTACAAGGATAGCTAAGTGCCGCATGATTGCCGCATTTTGCTTGACTAACTAATTCATACCTTGACTAATGTTCTGAATATGTTGTTCAACGCTGTAACACGCCCCCCTCTTTTGGAGCACGTCTCGGCCCACTCTCATGATGGGATGCATGCTCGGATTGCTCTCTCCTTATGTGAGACTGAGTTGCGCGAGGTCGGTTATCCCTGAAACGAGGTTGGCTGTCGTCATAGTGTAATTGATGACCACTGTTATGACGTGACTGGTTCCCACCATCATGTTGATAATGGTTACTGTTGTTGCCATGCTACAACTGATTTCTGCTTTCAGGTTGATGGTGACTGCTATGTGATTGATTTTCGCCTTCAGGCTGATGGTGGCTGCCATGTGACTGATTTTCGCCTTCAGGCTAATGGTGGCTGCCATCACTATGTTGTGACTGATTTCCGCCTTTAGGCTAAAGGTGACCTCCACTATCAAGACACGAGGGGGTGTTGACTTTCTTCTCCGAGATGGACTCTAGATCGCAACTTAACCATATTTCTTCTAGAAAACTAATATCGTATTCCCATATACGACACCAATTGTTGATGTAGGATTTCGCCGCGACCTGAAATGACGTCGTACCTGAAAAAGAAAAAGAAAGATGATCGAGGGATTCCGGTGTGGTATCGGCCTAAGAGCCTCCGATGATTAAGTCAGTGCTAGATTAGGATGGTGGAAAGAAGGTGAAAAGACTTTCTTAGGGATTTGTGTCGTACCTTTTTTGTTGACCCGAACGCCCTCTTTATAGAGGTGTCAAGTTATATTAAAATTTAAGTGTTATACCTCTTACTTTCCCCACACGAAAGGGGAACTTATTCCCATCTTTATGCGAGACACTAGAGTTTATCCTAATTTATAGACTTATAAGACGGTCAAACTTTTTGGGTGAAGACTCCTTCTCTTCTTTCTCGACCTCTTTGGTTGATTTAGGTGATCATGCTGCCATATAATAATATATAAATTTAAGTAGTAAGAACTAAAAGTATAGAGCAATATTGAATAATTTAAATAAATAAAAAACTAGAACGGATAAAAAAGTGTTAAAAAGGTTGAAGAAATGAGAAAATGAGTTCCTTATTTATAAATTTTTAGATGATTAGGATAAAGAGGAAAAAAAAAAAATGCTATATACAAAATTTGAAATTACTCATTCTGGTGTTAAAAATAAAAAAATAAATAAAAAAATAAAAAAATTTACATTTTTTAAATTAAGCAAGTAAGGACAATTTGAATATAGAAAAAACTATAAAATTCCCTTGAGACAAAATCAAAACAAAAAAATTTGGGGTTTGGGACATTTTGGGTTTTTTTTTAAAAAAATATATTTTTTTTAGTTTTTATAAAAATACAAGACTGAAATACCTAAAATGTTTTTTTAAGTATTTTGGGGGTTTTATAAAAAAAAATTGATCAAAATTGACTATTAGAGAAGAATTTGCTACAAAATTTTAAATTATAAAAATTTATATATAGATACTTAAATAGTAAGAGTTCTTTCACACTTTATTTCCCTTCAAATTAAAAATGAAAGGGCCTTACTACATTCAACAGTAATATGATTCAAAATCATGTTATTGCATGAGTGATGTGGGCGGGTAGGGCTATTTGTAAAATAAATAAACAAAAGTAAAGTAACAAACAGGCGGGCTGGAACCAGGCCGGGTAGAAGACTTTACCTGGGCTCTACGCATCATCTATTCATCTTACAGGTCTGGGCCGAGACTAGGGTCATTTGTTTGCTCCATTTTTGGGCGGAATCCATTTTCTACAAAAAACAAACCTTCCAGCGTTTTCTCAGATATAAAGCTTTCAAAGCCCACTCCCCAAACAAATAAACATCCATTTTCTCCTAGGGCTGAGGTTTCCCATCTGGCGTGAAACTTGCTAAACTGCAGTGGCGACCTGGGCAAACATCTGACGATCTCAGTGAGCTCCGGCGAATCCAAAGGCGTCCTGCGAGAGGTATGTAGACCTCTTTGTTCTGTATGCTTCTTCTTCTTCTTCTTCTTTGTTTAAAATTGAGAGAACATTTCTGAATTTTTTCCTTCTTTCTGTACTATTATTGTGAGGAGCATATAATTAATTTTTGTTACCATAGGATAATTTAGTTTCTGGGCATTTTCATTTTTTTTTTTTAGTTTTGAATAAGTTAGTTCGCTACTGGACTGTGTTCAGTCAAATTTAGCTTCAGTGTTACTCCATTATGTCACTAAGTTCCTCACATTTATTAGATTTTCGTGGGTTTCGTTCAAATAAATGGTTTTGTTATGTAGAACGATTATTTGTTGTGGGGAGGATCTTACTGGGTTTTAATTGAGACTGAAGCTAATTTGGGTTTGTGTTTGGGAGATTAGCTTAAGTTTCATAAGGAGCAGCGCTGAAAAGATTACAAGTAAAGTAACTCATCCAATTTATGGTACTGGGTTCCTTTTTCGCTTTTTTCAATCTGAAATTGATTTTTTTTTTCCTTGATTCCGTGTGTTTATGGAATCCTTTATCTCCTTTTTGATCAATTTGAATCTAATTTCATTGGTGTGGTTGATTATGGAATTTTGAAAATTTATGGGACGCTTGAAATAGGAGATTTTCCCCTTACCTTAGAGGCTTAGAACAAAAAAGGCAGGATAAATTGGATAATCAAGAATTCAATCTTCCGTACAGACTAAAACCTCCATTCTTTTTCTGATTATGAAGATCTCAGCCTTGCTAGGATTGCTATTTATATAATTCTATGTCCAAGTATAAATGGTTGTGTTCCAAGTATATAGATATTATATATAGTACGATCAAATCATAAAAACAGTACTGATGAACAATAAGGAAAATTACAAAGTTTTTTTTTTTTTTTTGAATATTTGCGGTCAATTATTGCTTATGTGATAAAAAAATTAAAGAGAATCAAAATGGAGAATCAGACTACAACCTCCATTCTTTTTTCTGATTAATTAGGTTAAGGAAAATATGAGAAGAATCAAACATTGTTGATTTTTGTCAAACAATTATGAACCATTTTTTTTGCTTTGCATTGAGGTAATATCTATATTTTATTTCAGCAACCTGAATCAATTCATTGCATTGGATTGAGGTAATCTATATTTTGTTTCAGCAAAACAAATATATATATTTTTATTTCTATAACTTCTATTTCTTTTTTTTTTTTTTTTTTTTTTGTCAATTATGTCTACAAGAAAATTTGAATCTGGGCATGTGTGGGGGGGGGGGGGGGGGGGGGGGGGGGGGTTTGTGGGAATTGATTCAATCTCAAAAAGGTGTTATTCATAAGTTTTTTAGGAACAATACATAAATAGAGAGTTTAGTTAAAGATTTGGTGAATGAAGAACATAGGAATGAAGAAAATCTTAATGAACATGGAGATTTAACGAATGAAGATGGGATTGAGAATCAAAATGAAGAAAATGTGTATGGACTTGAAGATTTGGTAATGAAGAACATGTGAATGAGTACGATAATCTACCCTTGAACATTAATGATCCAACAAATTGTAAAAAGATTGATAAAAAATTGAGAGATTTATTAGTTGAAAGAGGTCCTCCAAGAGATGCTAAACTTGAAGCTTTTCAAAGTTTGAAGTTAATCAAATCGTACTTACGGTCTACAATGACACGAGAGAGATTGAATGGATTGGCTATCTTATTTATTGAAAAAGATATATTGGAGAAACTTAATTGGAGCACTTTAATTGATAATTTTGCAACTCAAAATGCAAGACGATCACATTTGTTTTAATGAAAATTTTGCACTTTTATAATTTTCTTTTGCACGTGTGAAATATTATGTATAAAGGGCCTCACATTTCGCCTAGGGCCTCTCAAGATTTTTTCAATTTCAGGGCCGGCCATGCATGATTATTATTTAGTTTGATTCAGACCTCTATTGTTCCTTTTCTTTCTTCAGTTTATCTTTTATTTCTAATTGGGCTAATTGAGCTAGAACCAAGGAACTGAACCGGACCGAACCAGTTCTTCACTGTTCGGTTTGGTTTTGTTTTATTGGTCGTCACGGTTTGGTTTTGTTCCAGTTTTTGTGGAACCATTAGGACCAGTTTGGTTCCAAAGTGCTCCCAAACCAGTCCAATCCGAACAATGTACACCCTTAGTATAGCCACAGGTGTTTAGGATAATTTTGGCAAAATAGAGAACCTTTATGAATTAATTGTTTGACTAGATTGGGCATTGAAAGCATTAGGTCAAATTAAGTAATTTTTTTTTTTTTTTGATAAGTAAGATTTTATTAAAAACGCTCAAAAGGGTAGCGAAGTCTAAAGAAACAAAAGAAAACAAAAGGGCCAAAGGGCGCCTTAGACCTTCAGAGAGGCCAAGAAAACAATAATTTCCTCCATAGATCTATAATCTCTCCCTGAAACCCAAAAAAAAAAGAGTAGAAATAACAGATAACTTAAGCATAGAAACAGGCTTCTTTTTTCAGTCAAAATATCTCCTATTTCTCTCAAGCCAAATACACCACCAGATACAAAGCAGCGTAGCCCTCCAAGCGTCCTTAATGCCAGCCCCAACAGAGATGCCTCTCCAAGCCTCAATCAACCCTCTAGAGGAATAAGGCATGGCCCAATGGACCCCAAATAATCTAAGCATCAAATCCCAACAATCTCTGGCCATGCTGCAAATGTAAAAAGAGGTGATCAACAGACTCCTCATTACACAAACACATGTAGCAGTGATTGACCACCACCTGATTCCTCCTCCTCAGATTATCCTGGGTTAAAATCTTACCCAGGACAGAGGTCCAAGCAAAAAAGGCGACCTTGCGGAGAGCCTTGGATCGCCAAATAGACTTCCAAGGGAAGGGATCTCTATGACCAACCGAAAGGCATCTGAAAAAGGACCTAACCTCAAAACGGCCTTGCGAGTTAGGAATCCAGAACCACCAATCCGATTCCCCAAAAGAAATCACTTGGCTATACAACATAGATGATTGTTACTGTAATATTTATATGAGAGTGACAGACTCTTTGGGATTATATTGGTTGTATTTTAGTTGCAAAATCTTCTAACATAGCCTTGGGTGTTTTAGTTTTTATACTGAAAGTTGATTAATTGGCTTAGTGGGATTAAGGTCAAAAGATGGGTTTGTTTGGAGTTTAAAAGCAATTATAACAATGCCCTTGAAGGTTTACCATGAGCTTTTCCGTTAATGCACACCCCTTTGTCATAAGCTTTGGGTGCAGTTATGAATGAGTGAAAAGGCTTGGCCAAAGGCATGAGGGTCCTGCCATTACAGGGTCTGGGGAGGGTCAGATGTACTACAATTATGAATGATTTGATGGGACCATGTTGATGCAAACATGTAAAAACTGACTTGAGATCTGGATACCTGTAGATAAATGTGTAATCATCTTCTCTTTTTTCTTTTTCCTAGTTAATGTGTATTCATCTTTTCATATGAGTTTTGCTACATTGTGATTTTTTCTTGGGTCTACTTTTATCTGCTTGAGTAATTTGATCTACATGTGTATCCTAATCTATAAGGCATTTGGATTGAATTTTATTGTCTGGTGTTTCCCATGTGACTCCTCACATGTGAGATCTGTATGTTGCATAATGGTGCTACCGGTGCTCTTAGCTGTGGTCCGGCCAAGATTCCGACCAACCTTTATTTGATAGAATTAAGTATATACTACTATTCCAATTGATGACGAGTAGGGGTATATACTTCCAATAAGTTTACCATCTCTGTTGTTCTGGATAACTGTTGTCTTTTGATTGAAATGTCAAAACTATGTTAGCTAGTGGTTGTTGTACTGAATTCTATAAGTTGTCAAACGATTCAATTCTGCTTGGAGAAATTGAAGTTTGGAATTCTGTTTATGTGTATGTATGTCTGTGTATGTGTGTATATAAAAGTTTATGTACGTTCAGCGTATATTAGTTTATTCCGAAGGCACTTTTTACTTGCTTAAATTTCTGTGCTTTGGTTACAATCTTTATGGTTTCTATTGGTTTCTGGAAAACCAAAGTATCTTATTATGATAATTGCCATATTAATGGCAAGTAACCTATTTTTTTCACTCTTTTTGGCCGCCTATGTCTTCTCATCTATTGAGTTTTGGGTTTTTATTTATTTAATTTATTAATTTTTTCTTTTCATTCCCCTTTTAGGTCATCTGGCTTATGCTTTTTAATTCCCTTTTCCAGGTGATATTCCTGTCATACCATCATCACAAAATGAAGCTGTCGCCCTTTTAGTTAAACAATGCTGCAGATACATTGGCTAAAGCAGTCACCTTCATTCTAGCCGTCTTCATCTCATGAGTTACTGTTTTCACTAATTAACAGCACCATGAAGCTAATTTCACTTCTCAAAACTGTTCATGGACGCCCTAACCTTCGTGAAATAAATGGGCCTTTGCAATTTCGGTCATTCCAACCTGACTTTGTTCCCAGAGATCCCAATTCCAAACCCCAAAGGTACAAATATCCACCCTTTTATGATCCCTATGGCCCTAAACCTCCACCTTCTGATAAAATCATTCAGCTTGCTGAACGAATTGCTGCCCTACCCCCTGAAGAACGTGCTCAAATTGGTCCCTCTCTGAGAGATAGAATTAGGCATCCCAAGCTGCAACCAATTTCAGTAGAAGGCGTGGACCTGGGTGCCGAAGCTGGGCAGGCTGCTGGATCTAAAAAGGCCGAGGAGAAGGTAGAGAAAACCGCATTTGATGTTAAGTTAGAAAAATTTGATGCTGCTGCAAAAATCAAGGTAATCAAAGAGGTTAGAACTTTTACAAATCTGGGATTGAAGGAAGCCAAAGATCTGGTTGAGAAGGCACCTGTTGTGCTCAAACAAGGAGTCAGCAAAGAAGAGGCGAACGAGATAATAGAGAAGATAAAGGCTGTTGGAGGAGTTGCTGTGATTGAATGAAATTCTGGACTGGATTTTTAGTGTCTTTTCTATTCTATTAGGTTCCGTCATTGTTGGTAAGAACCATTTTTCCATACCTTCAATATATGAATTATGTTACAAATTAACGGGTAGCTTTTATGTTTATTGGGTTAAGGGAACAAGTAGTTTAACAGATACTGTACTACTTTAGTGCATGTTTGAATGGAATTTTAGTATAAATAGTACGGGAAGTCCTGCAGCAGTGCATTTGCTGTTGGGAAAACAAATCCTGCGATGGTATTTGAAGAATTCAGTTGAGTGAACAAGTCAAATTATCCAGTAATTGTGATGGAAATTGATGTCAGGATAACTACTTGCATGTTAAACTGTAGCGAGATTTGCTTGTTTCTTTTTGGTTCTGACATTGTTATGCATGGCATCTAGCTGAGAAAATGGTATTCACAAAAACTGTACAAGGAAGCTATGGCATTGGCACTACACTGGTGGGGCTTCTCAGTGCCTTCTTTCGCGAACTTCTTTTTAGAAGTACTGGATGTACTCTATAGTAATACTAACCCAATGTGGGTTAATGTTGATGCTTGAGAATGAATGCAGAGATGCCTTGTTCGCTCGTCCCCAGCAGGACTTGTTCGCTCGTCCCCAGCAGGATTCTGGACAGCAAGTTGTGGCTCAGCTGCTCAGATATATCGTGCCTGTTGTAACGGATACATTTGCTTTTCCTTGGGAGGGAATTGAATGTGTTTTTGTTTTCACTTCACATATCTGCTGTCTTTGTAATGTATGATTCATTATACTTGGTATGGCGAGTTCTTATAAGCTATTACAAACTTATCAAAGCTTTTAGCTTCCCAGGCGCATGTCACAACATTAGTAGTACATTTCTGAGAAAAATAACCGGTACACTGCCGAATCCCAAATGGATCCTACTCTTGTATGTGTTTGCCAAGTAATATATACCCTCATATTTTTTTGTCTGTCTGTCTTAAACCCTCATTCGGTGCGTCTACTTACCGTCTTCAATTGCGCACCTGCATAATATTTAATATTCTAAATTATTGAAGGACCATTTGGATTTGAATGTCTTGTGAAAATTAAAATAAACATGCTCTCTGTAACTTGGAATGTCAAAAACAGAATTAGCGTAAATAGTTACTTTCATCTTTCAATTCACTTGCATTCTGCGAGTAATTGAAGTTTGATCTTCTTGAGTGCTACTAGAGCATCTTTAGTGTTGATCCTCTCCTGGGGTGATTCTGCATAGCAATTCAGAGCTAATTTCATGATAAATGAAACAAACTGAACCTTTACAGCATGGTTTGCAGTTGTGGTATCGTCGCGATTGTGGTGTAATGGACTCAAACAAATATAAGTGTTTGCAGTTGTGATATAACGGATTCATGTGAATATCAGTGTAAACCAACCGAACCGTTTGGTTCATGGAGGTATGGGGTGTGTAGCGGTATCGGATTTTTAAAAAAGGGTTACGAATTGGAATTGATACGTTGTGTATTGGGCGATATGATAAACCATGCTCTACAGTAATGAAGAGTCCTTTTGCCTTGGCAAGTTCAGATCTATAACCTGAGTTATTGTATGAAATAGTAACTCTTTTACCCAACTCTAAAAGCTCATATCCTCCTCGGACATGTTTCATCAGTGGGTATCTTTTTCGTAAATGTTTCCATCAACATAATACCAAAGATCCGGTTCCACTTGGTTAAAAGACATTCTCCCGAGTAGAACATCCAACAGTTAGAGATATTATACATCTTCAATTTTTAAAGTTACACTAAAAATGCAGCCGTTTTCATTTTGTTAATCGAACGGCAAATTTACGATTTCCTCCTTACAATAGTCTGAATTTCCTTCTCAACTCATGATTCCTCTCTCTCAAGATCTCCATCTGCCAAAAGATCTTACCAAAACAAGAATCAGATGACAATAACATGCATTGGTACAAATTCGAAAATATTAGGGAAAAAAAAAAAAAAACTTAAAATGAGATTGGTTGAATATAATTGAGGCACACCTTGTTGATGCTAATGGTAATTGGACTCGTATAACATTTCAATAACTTATATATTCAACTAATGTTGATAATTTGAATATGTAAATTATTAACTATTATTGATCAACACTTCATCAATTTGGGAAATCATCTGACTGAATTGAACAAACTCAACCCATTTAAAGAATCATTGAAATAACTTGTTTGTTCATTAGAACAAGTGCAAATTCTATGTTGAAGATCTTAATGTACCTTATAAATAATGAGGCAAAGCTCAATTCTACTTGTATATAGCTCCCAATTGAGCATCACCGATTAGCGATGCCAAAGCTCAATGATAAAATCGACTATGTTATATGGTACCGAATGTAGGACACTAAAAAGGAAACACGTAGAATGTATTCATTTGTGAAAATGTGAACAGATCAATGGTGAGTCAAAATTTTATTTTAGGGTGGACAACCATTAACAAAAATGTAATAACAAATTTTGAAATAAGGTGCCTTTTCAAAAAATTTATTCATTAAAATTTTGTTGTACCACTGGAGAAAAGACATGGGTGTTTTTTGAATTTTGAGAAACTTGTTGGACCACTGAAATAGAAAGGAGGGGTCTTTTTGAATTTTAAAATTTTTTCTTAAGGACTTTTATGAAATTTTAAGGAGTTTAGAGGGGGGGCACAACTATAATTATTCAAAAATGTGTATAAAAAATTACATTAAGGCTCTGTTTGTTTCGATGTAAAATACTAGGTAAAATATTATTTTATTTTTTTTTTTGTCGGTATTTGGCAAAGGTCTACGTCGAGGTTGAGGTCGAATCCATCGGACAAATTATGTAAAATAATTTGCCGAAAATTGATAAATAAGTTATTTTTGTTAAATTTTAATATTTTTTATTTCATAAATATTTTACGACAACCAAATACCAAAAAATAATAAAAAATTTTACATCCAAACAAATGGAGCCTAATGAAGAGTCCAATGTGGGCAGTAGCCCCACTAGTCCCGATGTGCCTCCGCCATTGGTTAAGATAGATGTTAAGAATAATTAGTAAAAATAAGATTAATAATTAATTGATTAGGGAGAGACTATACACTCTGCCTATTAGTGACAAAATATGAGATAGTAGACTTATGTAATATGGGAATATTCAATGTCGACCTCTAGATGCACTAGTGAGGGGAGAGGGAGTAATTTGTATAGAGCTTAGGTACAAAGAAGTCGACCAAAATTAATATGTAATGATTATAGATAATTAAATTTAATAGAATGTATGATGTATAAGAGAAAATAGTAGAAAAGGAGAATTATGGAGGGATGCAAATTTTTATTGGACAAAAGTAAGGATGATGTTGATAAAAAATATCGCCGCGGGGGGCGGGGGGTGTTGGTTGTGGGTGGTTTAATAAATATTGCAAGAACAAAAAATTGATGACTCACTGTTAATGAAGGGACGCTACTAAAAGAATAAAAAAGTAAATCAAAAGGGGCATTCCGAGAATCAAACTCGGGACCTCTCGCACCCAAAGCAAGAATCATACCACTAGACCAAATGCCCGTTCGGTTATTACAGTTTTACAAAGTAACTATAAATATTATAGGGACTAAGTTATTTTATATTGGCTTATTGACAGACAAGTTAAACTCTCGCGAACCATAATGTTCTTCTATTCTTCTACAACTTTGAGAAACAATTTTTTTTTTTTTGGTTGGCACCAAGAACTCTCCTAGGTAGGGCCCCTTCGGGACCCACTTTAAACTATAAATCTGAGGATGCTGTCAATGGCCTCATATCTCAACACCAATTTCAGTCAGGGAATATAATGGGGATGGACGGGCCCGAACCTGGGCATATGACACCAATCCAACTCTCTTTCGATCGATCGAAAAGATTCCATCTTATCTAGTTGTACCACCACACCTACCACTTTTGTCTCTTTCCCAAAAATATCTCCAAAATATCTCAGATTTGTCCTTATCCAAAAAGCTGCCGCCATAGAGGATCGATCCAGCCTTAGTTCGATAGATCTTAGCCAAGTTTGATCGATCAAAGCCAAGGTTCGATCGATCGAACTTCCCCAAGTGCGAGAAAATTCAATTTCCAGCTCATTAAAAGTTGTCTCAAATCCAATCATTGGGAGGAATATTGGTGTACGAGCCCAGGTCATTGGGGGTGACATTTGACCTACCTATATAAGGAATATAAGCCACTTTTACAAAAAGACTTTTGACACAATTTCCACATCATATTATTAGTGAGGAAGAAAAGAAGAGAGGAGGCTAGAGACACAAGCTTGGAGTTCTTCCATCGACCAAGAAGAGGAGCAATTTCTTCCACGGAGTTAGCCCTTGAGGGTTAGAGGAGCACATCCATGAGTGGCTAGACATTCTCTTGGGGCTAGAGTTAGCCCTAAGCATGCTTTCTATATCTTGATTTATGTATTTTTGAGGGGGTTTGTGTTGTAATACATGTTTTGATATTTATATATACATAGATCTTGTTTATTCAATGATTTGTGTGGTTTAATGCTTCCAATTGACCATTTCATTCATCCATATGTCTATGTATGCTAGAATAGATGTTCATGTGTTTATTTCTATCTTTTATGTTATTAATACATGTTTATGTGTATTGATGCTATAGATCTAGAGATTGTCAAGACATAGTGCTTAATGGAATGCTCTTGTGGTTTATTTGATAGTTCATGCTCATTTCTTGATGGATTGTGCCTTTCCTTTAGTTTAAATAGTTTAGTTTCATGTTAGTAGCTTAGTTGTAGTGTAGTTGTAGTGTAGTTGCCCTAGTTGTTAAATGAGAAGACAATCCATGCTTATTGTTTGATGTTCCATACTTTTGAATGGAAGTAGCATATGTCTCTAACCTTGTGATGTGTTGGATTGTGAGCTTAAAGGAATGATTAATGATTTAGTTTGATATATTGTGCTTTTCACTTTATTGCTTAGACAATATATGCTTAATTGGTCATCCATGCTTATTTAAACAACCACACACAGTCACCAATATTGCAACACATGTTTTCCCCTCATTAATCATTCATTAAGTTTGTAGAAAAGTTATGCTTAGTGGTGACCTCTAAACCCCAAGATCTCTCTCTCTTTCTTTTATTCTCTCTATTGCATTTTATTGTGTACTTTAATTTAAATTGCACATTAGTATAATTCAATCACCAACCAATTTTTTGATCACTTGACCTACTAACCTTAATCTTGTTTTCACAACCAATACGACCCACCAATCCCTTGGGACGATCCCTACTCACCCTAACTATATTTTAGTGAAAGGTAGTAGTGGTAATTATAAATGTAAAACTTGACCCCTCACCTTAATGCACCTTCTAAGCTATGTGCTTGCGACGACCACCATAGTTTTTGGCGCCGTTGCCAGGGATTGATTGAAGGCAACGTCGTATTTGTGGAATCAATTAGGAATAAGTACTTTTTTTTTATCGTATTTTTACTTTCATTTTTTTATTTTCATTTTGGTTACTTATTGTGTTGGTTCTTGTTTAACTAGGTACATTGAGCTAAGAAGGCAAGCAAAGGAGCATTCCAAGCAAATGAGGTAAGCAAAGCAAGGAAAAAGCTAAAAATAAAAAAATTTGCAAAGCTAAAAATAGAAAATGAATTGAAGTGCTAAAGGACCCTTTGTGAGCTCTTTCTTAACTCAACTTCTAGTTAAATCGTCGGCCCGTGCTTGTATTTCAATTCTTAGATAAATCGTGAGCCCGCGTGGAGGCATTTTATTGTTCTTTGCATATTGTTGAAAGCATGGGAGTATGGGATCATTGTATGTGGAGGAAGTTTGTTGTTGATTGATTTGTTGTGAAGGTGAAATGTTTGTTCATTGCTTGTTTCTTGTTGTGTCTTATTGTGCATGCATGGTCGTAGGTCATTAAATCCTACTCTTGTCCCTCTTGATTTGAATCTTGAAGCTATTGTTCG